AAATTCTCATCTGAGCATGTTTATCAAATATATTGACCCCTACATCAAAAATGATCTTTACCGGTAATTAATTAGCAATTGCCGCTAAATATGTATTTTTAGCGGCAATTAGCACTCTTCGTATATGTCCCTAAAGGCTTTAGCGACATTGGATATAATGGCACTTAATTAATGCCGGTAAATACTTTAACACTCTTAATTAATGTGTCTATTTATTGCCGCTAAAAGTTGTTTTTGTTGTGGTGGACCGAAATTAAATTTTGGCCAAAATTTAAAAGTTAAAACACCTAACGCACACACTAAAAATGAAAGCCTCAATACCCAAACCAACCATCCTATTAGATAAAAAATGACCTTTGGAGTTAATTACGCTGACAGAATTCTCATCTGAGCACATTCACAAAAATATTGACCAAAGTTACATTTTGGCCAAAACATAAGATTTAAAACACCTAACGGCACAAACTAAAAACGGAAGCCTCAAAATTTGAACCAACCTTCATGCTAGCTAAAAATGACTTTTTGAAGCTAATGACACTGACAAAGTTCTAATCTGAGTATGTTTACCAAAAGTATTGACCAAAGTCAAGTTTTGGCTAAAATTTAAAAGTTAAAACGCCTAACGACACAAATTAAATATGAAAGCCTCAACACCAGACGATGATTTACCAGAAAATTTAACTTTAATTGGTAAATTTACCAACTATTCAAATATAAGTTAGTAATTAATAATTTACCAATAAATTTTATCACAGTTGGTAATAGTTACTATTCAAATCAACATTCATATGTAATATTACCAACTAATAATTAATATGTCGGTAAATTTTACCAATGGATTAATGATCGGTTGGTATATTACCAACTATTTTAATGATGTTAGTAATTTACTAACTACAATCTTTATTCGTCGGCAAAATTTCCAACTAATTGGATATTGGTTGGCAAGTTTACCAACAAATTACATTTCGTTACTAATTTACCAACACATTTATATTTTGTTGTTAAATTTAGCAACACAATCTTGTCGTAGGTTAATGTTTGGTTAGTAATTCATTGGTAATATGTTAATAAATTATATAAACAATTTTTTGTCATATTTACCAACCGATATATACTTCGTTGGTAATATTACCAACAAAAGGTGTGAGCTAGTAATATTTCAGTTGGTAATCCATTGATAAAATGTTGCTAAATTTGGCGCCATTTTTTTCCGCCGTATTTACCAACTAGAATACTTAGTAAGATTTTGGTTGGTAATCTGTTAGAATTTCGTTGTTAAGTTTTAAAATATAATTCAGTTAGAAATATGTTGGTAATTTGTTAGTAGAATACTAACCAACTTAAGTTATTAGTAAAATTTGTTGGCAATTTGAGATTTTTTTGTAGTGTTACCTGACTCCGTATCAGTATATAAGAACGTGTAGTGCCTCAAAAGTTCACAACATCAATATATTCTTCATTTGTTTTTATCATTTTTTAGATTGGATTCTTTAACAAAAACTGCATGTTATCATTTACTTTTAGCATGAAGAATTTTAGTACGATATATAGATGCCTATTCAGGTATATATTCTCAATAGGGAATTTGGCCGCACTTCGCACAGTTATGAAAAATATATGTATTTAAAAAATTAATTATGATACAAGAAATAAAAAACGAACTATAGAAATAAAAAAAATGATAAAATTACATTACAAATAATTTTTTATGTTAATACATATAATTTTAATAAACATATTTAAGGACTTAATTTTTTTTGATTTTTTTTATTCAATGATAAATTTACTGTCGGATGAATCTTCCTTTTATTGAATTTTTTTTTATGAAACTAAAAATAGGAGGAAAAAGAGATAAGTATTTCTATTTTATTTCTTCTTTGATATTTAATTCTTTCATCGTCCTTGTTTTTTAATACAAACTAAAAGAATATGAACGTGTAGGTTCATTTCAAGTTAGGGTCCCTAATATCCTGATTAAAAACAAGAGATTAAAAAATAAAATAAAAGGAGAGAATGATAAAAAAAACAATTGGATAATTGCTAGATAATTTATATAAATAAAAAAAGATAACTTTTTTAGATGAAAAATCATATGGGGTGAGTATGAATTTTAGTTGAATCCCTAGTTATGAGTTGAGTTATAATAAATTGAGGGTTAATTTAAAATAACTCAATTGTAACATATCATGAAATTAATAATTTTTTTGATATTATATTCAAGCATATCAGGTCAAAACATGAATTATGTGGTTTTTATTATTTATTTGCGACGAGTTTAAATTTGGATAAGTTAGATTAGGTAACATAATAATAAATATTTAATAATTTTTATTTAGGGGGCTTTGTTAAAAATAAGGGCAAATATGAGCTCATTGGTAACATCAAGGGTATATTTGGGCTAAAAGGTTGACTTCAAGGGTATTTAGGGACCAAAAGATGGATGAATGATAATTTTATATCAATTCAAATAATTGAGAGACATTTTAGGCCCTTCTCCGTATAATTAATAAGGTATAAAGATCCTTTAGTATTTGAATAAAAAAATTGTTCAGCGGACATTTATATTCATGTTTTATAATAATATAGACATATAGAATAGATAGGTATAATCATTAAGTTTATTATAACATTTTGTTAACTAGTTATTAAAACATAATGAAGAAATCAAAATGGTCTGATATACCCCTCTGTTTTACTATTTAGACTTGATATACTCCTCGTTATGATTTATGACAATAACTCATATATATCCCCATGATTACACAACTGACTCACATATATCTTTTTTCTCTAACAAAGATGAAAAAATATTTTTTGTTTAATTTTATTTTAAAAAAATTTCATGTAAGCGTATATTTGATCATTCTTACATGTTTTTTTTTCTTTTGATTATTTTTATTCATCGATTAATTTGAGTTTATTATTTTGATGTTTAACTTTATTTTTTCACTTATTTTCTTCTAAAATTTATTATAGATGCTCCAAATTATTATTTTTACAGATATAAAAACTAAAATTACAATATAGTTGCAAAAAAATATATTTTAAAAACTTTTAAATCTTTTTCCGTTCACACTTTTTCTTTTAATTTATCTTATTTTTACACTAAAGAATGAACAAAAGAATAAAAACTCAAATAATGGTAATTAAAGAAGTCAAAAAATAATTTATATGTGCAAAATATTAAATACACGATTTTCTAAAAAGTTAATTTAAAATTAATTTTTTAACTTTGGTAGCGATAACGATATGTGAGTCATTTTTGTAATAGTAGAAACATATAGTAGCTCTATATAATGAGGGATATGTTTTTTTTATCTTTTAAAAAAAGTGATAAACTGCAAATCGGAACTCAAAACACAGTTAAATTTCAACTAATACAACTTCCCGGGTTCCGCTTTCTTATAAAGGAGTAACAAACTTGATATTTCAAAAAGCACGCGAAACACCACCATCCTCTTCATTTGAGCGAATTTTGATAGCTATCGTCTCAATCTCTCTCCATACTGAAAATGAAAATGGCAGAATTCAAGTAATTTTCAATTCCTGTTTCTGATTGACTTCTATGAATTTCTTATTTTTCTGATTGTAATGTATATTCTGATGTGTTGATGGATTTCAGATCTGAAAAACTGTTGCAGCTCGTTGGATGTGAAGAAGGCTGGTTCGAATCTAGTGATAAACGTAAGAAATTTTCTTTTAAATTCGACTTTTTTTTAGCTTCGCTTTCGTTTTGTGAATATAGTCTCTGTTTCCTCATAATTCAAGCCATTTGTTCAAAAATTCAATCAATGCTAGTGTGTGTTTGTTGACCTTATCTTAGTGGAGAATGTTAGGGTTTCTAGTTTCCTCTACTTACTTCTATAGTGGAGATATATGATTTTCATATGCGTCACAAAATATTTAGCGGTGGTTTGGAGATAAAATTTCTGAATAACATAAATATCAAAGGAAGCTCACATTAATTTAAGATAATAGATTGTGTTCTGCGTTTCTCATAGTTATGGCTCAATGTCCATATATTTTAACTGTTTTTATGCTCATTATTTTATCTAGTCGTTATCCTATTTTTCATCAGCGCCTAGTGTGTCTCTCTATTTTGATCTCATCTTTATAGCATAATTTGCACAGTTTCGGTTTTCTCTTCTTCTTGTGAGATTTTCATTACTGATCATATGTATCATAATCCTTTAATTTTAAGATGTTGTGAATGTATTTTAGTAGAGTTCAAATAAAATTTGTAGTATTATGTTCCTCCTGATGTCTGTCTACTTTAAGGTATAGGATGATGTTATAGTGTGTGCTTTTAATATCAAATATAAATTCATGTAAGATTCTGATAAACTTCCAAAACTAATTGAATGTTGAATTCGAAATTTGTTCAAAATGGTGAATCATTTATTCAGTGATCTCTCATGGAATCAATGTTGGGGATGTGAAGAAGTTTCAAGAGGCAGGTATCTACACCTGCAGTGGCTTGATGATGCATATAAAGAGGGTGAAAGGAAAAAAAAGAACTCATGTTGTTATGCATAAAGTTCTACGTCTTCAATCTTTGTTCTTCTGATAAGTATCATCGTTACAAAACTTCACTCTTTAATTCTGATAGTCATACTCATGTTGATGATACACCATATGTTTCTGCTGCTACTCATTTTCTCTTTTCATAACTTAGGGTATATTACTGAACCTGATAGATGCTCTTCTACTCAAAGTATACGCTTTCTTTCCTCTTTCTATTTTATGCACACATGAACTTACTAAAGTTTGTTGGACTGATTCTATTATAATTAGTAATCCACTGAAGTCACTCAATAATTAAATAGGGTCAATGTGGTGAGAAATAAAATCACTATTTTTGTTTTCCTTGTCCATCCACTCTTTCATTCGTTTGCTTGTGTGACATTTCATAATGAGTCTGTCCTATTTGGATACTACATGTATGTTACAGAGGGAGGCAGTTGTTGGAAACACAACTGGAAGCGAATAATTGGATGATGTCTTGGGAGGTAAACTTTTTGTTCCCATATGCAATCCTCAATGTTTTTTCCTTAAAAAAAATCACTCCTGATTCTGACTGTTCTTTCTTCTGTGTGAACTTTTGAAGGAGGGAAAAAAGATACTTCAGCAATCACTAAACCTTTTGGTGAAGTTAGGTAACAGTCAAGTATTGATTATTGCTTTAGCTTTACGGTAGAAGCATTATTAGAAAATTTCATCTAACTCTACTGAATGAACAATTTGTTCAGATCTGGAAAGACACAACTTCCTGATACTCTCTGTGTGTCTACTCAGGTTCACCTCTGATCTTAGTCAGAAGAAATGAAACATCTCCTTTATATGCTTTACTTACACTTAATAATGGCATCATCCAGGATTTGACAAGATCGTCAATTGATTTGTCTGATTTATTGCATCTTCCTACTAGTTATAGGGATTATATGATGAAAGTAATTAAAAAAGCTCCATTTCTTTTAGAAAGCTAAGAGAGATCCTTCTAACTTTCACCCTTAGTAGACTATAGTGTTTCAACTTTAAACTTTTTATTCTCTAACTTGTGGCTTAAAGTTGGGTGTGTCGTACAATAATAGCTAAATTATCACCGTGACTAAATAAACTATTGTAAATTTCTAACCTTAAAAGTGTTACAGAATTCTAATTTAAATACGCATGGCAGTTACCTGTGTCTTTTCCAGAGGAAAGACCGAATTTGAAATCCGGATACCCTTTTAGTAGAGTTGAAGTTAGTATTAAAATCCAAGGCCTATAGTTTCTTTATTGTATGTTATTGCAAATAATTAGTTGGATTGTTCACATATATAGTAGACGTACTATATCTTCGGAAACAAAAGGAGTACTATATAAACCATCATGTTCACGTACACCACCCTTCAATGTCTCTGTTTCGATTCACAAACTTTGAAACTTCACCATATAAACAACATTCTAAGTAGTTATACTTCCTATCTATTCTGCAGGCTGAAGCAGGGGATGGTTTTTTCCTTAGTCCTCCACTTATCCGCTGGGAAAACATCAAGAAGAAGTTCTTTGTAGATCGTATACCTCCCTCTTGGACTCCGAACCTTTTACTTGTTCATCCCAACAGAAACACCTGCCAGCTATTTGACCCTGAACAGTATAAAGCATTAGCAAATATCAAACAAAAGACAATAACTGAGCTTAGAGAATCAGCCACATGTGAGGAGATGTTTGAAGAACTAAAAGAGCTCAAAGAATTAACATTTGATGATTACCAAGAATTAGCAACCTATGAGATCGAACATGATCTCAGAGGTTTCAAGCTAATTGGATCATTCCCGAACGGGTGGCTTATCCTGGTGAATTATGCTAAACAATCATTTCATCTCTATGAGATGTCGGGCAGTAAATGGCAAACATTGATGGTTTATCCAGGATTAACTCCAAATAAGAACTTTATCGGGGTATGCGATGGCATGGAAATTATTTTGCTATTGGAAATGTCGGAGGGAGAGACCGTAATTCATATCTTTCAGATTCAAGGCTTTGATATAGTAGTTCACCATCAGAAGTTTCTGACTGAATTGAAGGGAAATATTAAAAATGCTCTCTTGTGTAAGAATCAACTGTATGTGGTTGTTTCTAATTTGAGCTCAATGAGATTGGATTGTGTAGGTGGAAAAGTTATTCCACGAACCACTGATCTAACAATAAAGGCCTTAGAGTTGCAGGAAACTTGGTTCACCAGTATGGTATTATCTCCTGTCAATACGCCTCTACTGATAGTATTTCCTCCTGAGATGCAGTTCACGGTTTTCGAAGTGTACGGTGAAGGGGTTAACCTTGACATGCAGAAAGTGACTTATATTCACCTGCCTAACCTGCAACTCTACCTGGCACCTAATGGGGGAGGGTGTACACTTCAGGAAGAACATACAGTATGTCTATCCACCCATGTAGGTGCAGATTGTCTTAGGGGTACCACCGAATTACATCATGATTATGAAGAGGACGACTATGAATCTGATGGAGAGGCGCCTGATGAGGCTGATGAAGAGGCGTCTGATGAAGCTGATGAAGAGGCGCCTGATGAAACTGATGAAAAGGCACCTGATGAGGCTGATGAAGAGGCGCCTGATGAGGCTGATGAAGAGGCGCCTGATGAAGCTGATGAAAAGGCACCTGATGGGGCTGATGAAGAGGCGCCTGATGAGGCTGATGAAGAGGCGTCTGATGAAGAGGTGCCTGATGAAGCTGATGAAAAGGTACCTGATGAGGCTGATGAAGATGTTCCTGCTCAGGCTGCTGAATATGAGGCTGATGAAGATTTGCTTGATCAAGCTGCTGATGAAATGGAAGATGATGATTATTTTACCATCTGGCAGCGCATTAGAGAATGCCCATGGGATTCTCAATGGGAAGTTTGCCCTTGTCAACCAGTTTGGGTCATGCTCCCCCCGATAGATATGAAAAAGTTTTTGGCTGTTCCTAGTTATATAGGTTAATATTTTTTTGATGCAAATGAAGTTCAAACTATGACATATATGTGAAAGACTCAAATGCATGATGCATATATTGCCAGGTTTTAAATCAAATAGACCATGTGAAAAATTCATTCCAGGGAAGCTGATTACAATTTGCCTGTATTTCTTAGTCAATGCTGCTTCCTAGTTTGGTGTTCAATATTTTGTATTGTTTTCTTATTGAATGCTGAAAGACAAGATGACGTTGAGTATAACCAGTACCAATTTCTAGGTTTATAATATGATAATTAGGATAGCATAATTGGATCAACCTTGCAAGCTTTATCTGCGTGTAAAATTGGTTATAACCTAATTTAAAACGGTAGTAACAATTGAAGGTATGCCACTATTTAGCAACTAAGACTAAAGAGGTTACGAAAATAGGTTTTGCTACATTAAGCAAAATCTGTTTATTCTACTCATTACAGATACAGGTTTATTATAACAAGGAGGGGGAATTGCAATCGAGTTTTAACTTGAGCAGGAAATACTCAGCCAACCAAAACGATAGCAGCTAACAACCTCACAGAGAACATGATGCAAAACAGAAGTAGCCAGTAATAAACTCAACGAGCCCGAGTAACAGCAGCATGGATGGCATCTGTCAGGTGTGGAACTGTCCTGGAGCTTAGACCTGCCATGCATGCTAATGCGTCTGCAAATATAGACATGTGATGTGATTCATGTCAAAGGCAAATCTGATAGTCAAGCTTCATAGAGGTTACCACAATTATATACCAACTAGTAAGAATCACGCTCTAGAAATGTTCATTAATACCATCATATCTTTTCTTAGTGTTCCTGAAAGCTAAGGTAGAAAGTAACTACAAAAAGAAGTAAGTGATGACTGATAAGATTTTAACATGTCTCCCTTCCCACTTACTGTTTTACCTTCCTTCCAAGATAGTCACAGTCACTTAACTAGCTAATAAAATCACATATCAGTTGATGGGGAGACATAATATTGTCTTATATGACACGAACAGAACTTTGTGACATAGAAAAAACATATTACCCATCTGATGTCATGTAGATGTGGTCATGAAGGCGACTTGTTCTTTGTTAAGTCCTGTGAAAGTGAACATTCCAATCTGCTTGATACCTGCAAATCAAATTGACGTGAATAGAAATAGATATACTGTTCATGCGATGTTTGACATTTAAATGGATTAAAGAGTGCTTGGCCAGAACTAATTAGGAATTGACTACGTATAGAGACATCATGATTCTAACACCTTATGTGCCGACAGAGAGTTGCAATGTTATCTTTTTTAATATAATGCGGATGGTGTTCAAATCAAAAACCTTGAGAGGAATATAGAAAGACCACTTGATCTATAGTTTCACCTCACCACATAAAGATGCACTTGTGGATGGTTTTCTAAGGGTAGAAAATCCGTTCAGCCATCGTTATGGGGTATTAGTTCCATTAGAACGAGCAATATTTGATGCAAGGAGAATTACCTAAGGAATAAGAGCACTAAGGAAGATCCAGATTGTGTTATGTTTTGGAGAAATGATTAAAATTGTCTATTTCCAGGTTAAAATTGCTTTTACTTTTTCCTGGTTAATCATACTTAGGATAGCATAATTGGATCAACCTTTGGTACTACTCTTCATCCAATAATCTGCAAATTATATACTAATTATGTCACACTGAACTAATGCCTATAATTCTACTTTCCAAATAGTCTGTTTAGGACCAAACAAAATTTTGGCAGATGACACACAAAGTAAGGTACTAGACTGACCTAAGCCATTTAATATTATCAATAGTATAACTAAAAGACTTGTGTATCTGCATCAAGATTCACAATTGAGAATAATTCACAGAGGCCTGAAAGTTAACAACATTATGCTAGACAAGGACATGAATATAAAGATCAGATTTCGGTTTGTATAAACTCGAAATAACATATACAATTACAAACATCAGAAGTGTAAACAGTTATACAAATTATATTATACAAATTCCAAATTATACAAAAGTTATACAAATTCCGAATTATACAAACGTGCGAATTATACAAAACTAAAAAACTGAGCCACGTAATTATAACTAAAAGTAGGTCGTGAATTGTAATTAAGCCAAACCATAGTTATATTAACTAATTAACTAGTATATGTTTGCTTATACACGTAATTTTCCCATATATTATTAGCCTACAACTGAAGGCTAAACTTTACACATTTAGCATGCAAATTTAATATTAAACATATTAAGCAAAACTTTCTTTTTTATACCAAAAAATTAAGATCTCCCCTTAATATTTCTATTCCATTTTTTTTTAGATTAAATAAGAAAATTACAACTGACTATCTTAAATTTAAAATCTAAAAATTTATGTTTCAAAATGACCAATGTAATCCAGAACTAAAATTGTATTCTTATGAAAATATTATTTATAAATTAAATAACAAAGCAAAATTGTTTTGAGATGGCTCAAAATAATGCATAAAAATAAAGTTTTTTTGATTCACAATTTGGTGTGACTTAACTAAATAATAAATGGTGTGGGTTTAGAGATTTATTCGTCAAGTTTATATAAAAGCTTTAATCTTTGAAGAATATTAATGCATGATTTCATCATAACTTTAATAATACAATATTGTTAATTTCTTTCGGATATGTTTGAAATGTTGTTAAAAACTTAATTTACAACTTTTCAGGTACTAAATTTTTGTTTAATCAAATTTTAATTTTGTAATAGCCGATAATTAGTAAATCATATACTGATTAAAATGAATAAATTTATGCTGAAAATAATTTTTTTTTATGTGAGGCGGGTTTATGCGGGTTGGTGCGGGGAGGGTAGAAATTAAATTTTTTTACTATGCGGTGCGGGGTGGAGCGGGGCGGATTGAATTTTTATGGGTTGAAGCTCTGACCCGCCCCGCAACCGCTCTGACCCGCCTCATTGTCATCCCTACCTGAAATTTAACAACATTATGCTAGACAAGGACATGAATCCAAAGATTAGATTTCGGTTTGGAAAAAATATGTGAAGAGGATGACATTGGAGCCAAGACACACCGAGTTGTTGGAACATAGTAAGAACTTCCTATACTCGGTAGTATTTTGAACCTAAGAAGATGTTAACTCCTGTATTTAGAATAGTAAATCAAAATAATAAAGTTGAAAAGAAATAAATTATCCGAGTCCACAAAACTTACTATGTGTCCTTAAGGAATTTAGTTCCCTCACTGTATCCGAGGTTGTGGATTATTTTCTCCCAAAATAAAACTGATAAACTATTAAAGAAGTAGTGATACCTCAGCATTTAATAACTTTAGCAAACTCAAAAGGCAACAACAAAATCACACAAAGACTCTACTTTTATTTGCAAGAAAATGTATGCATAAGGAGGAAATTCAATGCAGAAAAACGAGAGAACTCCCCTCTAATTATACCCGAGGTCCCCGCCTTCTTTGCTTGAAGCTCATGTATTCTTCCTTCACCCACTTATGAAATTGAAGCATGTAGTCTCGCCGCTAGTAGCAACAAAGGGTAGTATGAAAATGTGCTAATTGTGTCTTGTCAGAGAGGTCACAACCCTTTAGAAAAGACACAATCTTTCGTAAATGTCACAACCTTTCGAAAAAGTCACAACCCATCAGGAGTCACAAATTTTCATTCCCCATTCACACATTTAAAACCCAACAACCCCAATAGATTTTGTACAAAGTTATGCCCGATAAGACTTGAGGGTCGGATTAGTTTTACATTTGCAATCAAATGATGCTTCTAGTACCAAGAATTGACTACACGGTGGTAAAGTTGCACAAGCCTAAATGGCCATGCTTTAAGTTAAATAAGGATGGCAGCAAGATGCAAAATAGTCCAGCAGGGGCGGCAGGAGGTATTTGTAGAGATTATCATGGAAATATTGTCATGGCTTTCTCATTTTCATTGGGTAATGACAGTAGTTATCCGAAAGATGCACTGTGCTATGCAAATCAGATATGAAAAAGTAGTCATCGAAAAGATGGCACGGTGCTACCCAAATTAGTATGAGAAAATACTCACTCGAAGATACACTATGACCCAACTTTTGCTAATATAATCATTGACGACATATATGTGTCTACATTATCACATTGAGACCCTATTCATAGACACTACATTGGACTCCTTTTCCAATTAGGACACTAATACAATCATTTTCCAAGTAGAACTGTATATATCATTTCTATTCTAAGTAAAATTATATATTATTCTTGTTCCTATTCCTATTCCTATTCTAACAAAAACAATAACTAAAAATAGTAGAAACAATAAATAATACAATAATCGAATCAAAGAAAACAATATTTAATACTAATATAAAAATAAGCTAATAGGAGAGTACTAATAAAAATACAAAGAAAAAACTAAACGACACATGACTACCTACTAACCTTTTGCCATAATATTTGTCCTCCATAAACATATCTCACAGGTAGAAGTGGTTAAAATATAATCCCGAATTTGAAGATTAGAACCCATGTTGATGACATATTGTCAAGTCAACATAAAAGAGTTAGTACTATATATCAAAATATGAAAGCAAAAACAATAAAGAGATAAAGATATGAGTTCTTATATCTCTATTTGTAGTCAGTGGCGAGACTAAAAATTTCACTAAGAAGGTTCAAAATATGAAGAAGTAAACATACGAACTAGTCAATGTAGTTCAACATCTACTTTATATACATAAAATATATTTTTAACTATATGTAAATAGTGTATTTTTTCTCCAAAAGGGGTTGGAATGAACCTCCTAGCCTCAAGATGGCTATGCCCTGTTTACACCGTTACATAGAGACAAACAAAAGATGACATTAAACATATGAGATCATGAAGAAAGTGAGAGATATAGTTACATTTGAAATGGTTATTTTATTATAATACCCATATTAGTTGATGTTGAGTATTAGATCATGAAAAATGATTTGGGGAGAAAACAAAAATATTGTCGTTTATTGATATGTTAAAAGTTACGAGTAAAAAGTACAAATCGAGAGAAGTGCAGAATATCGAAAAATATCAAAA